CCCAAGCAAAGCCTTTAAAAATTTCTTCCTTTTTCATTAAAAAAAAAAAAAAAAAAAAGATCATGTCTGCTTGCTGGTTTAGAGCAGCAAATTAATATTTCTTTCCTCTTTAGACTGCAGTTGTAGATATAGAAATACCATATCCATGGACAAATTAACATGTGCTCCCTTACAACACTGTACTAATTATCTCGGGGACCAGAGGCTCCCCTAGGTTAGCAGTGTCAGCCCCAGTGCAGGGTTGGAACAAGAATTTCTTTCTGAGAAGCAGCAAATTTGTATCGTGTTCAGAAGGCAAAGGAGTGGGAGGGTCATAAACAATATCAAAGTACATTTTTGTAAAACCTATCCTTGAAACCTTCTTACCTCCCTCCCTCCCCTGGCTGCCCCACAAGCAAAGGCATCTGGAAAAACCTTCTTGAAAGAGGAAAAAATAAAGTATCAAGCATATTTAACTACACCAAATAGACTTGAACAGATTTCAGGCTAAACAGCCCCCTCCTTTTTACTTACAGAACCTTGCAGTTTTCAGGAAATGCTGTAGCCTGAACTTCAAAGGCATAAAAAGATAGATGTGGCATGTAGGGAATTAGAGATGGAATTTCCTTTATTATTCGGAACAAAAGCCCTGAGTCTAATCTCCTGTGTGATACAAGCTTTAGCTGATCAGGGTTACACTAAGTCATTCTGATGTAGCTAACAGCTAATACACCCTCTTTTTATTTCTTTCTGTCTCCTCCTCCCCCTTCTTTCCATACTCATATGCAAATTCCTTAGCAGTAAGGGCAGTTGTGCAATACCACTGAGGGTAAAAGAAATCCCTTTGATCACGCTCTTTAGGCCTTGAGTCCCCTGGCCCCCCAATTCTACCTGCTTCTTTATGACAAGGGACGATATCTGCTGTATCAAATTATACTCCATTCCTCTCAGAAGTAAAATATGCTTAGCAATTCTGAGACCTATGAAGGAAGCGACATCTTGGAAAATAAATATTTCCTTAAGTTAGCCTTATAAAATGTTGGTATTTGTTGCTAAATTATTACAGATTTATTCATATAAAACAAGTTGCTTCTCAGTGGAACTATTGCAGAGCTGATGGCAGAGACTTCATGGAGGTGCTACCCCAAATGTTACTATATACATGAAAAAAAAAAAAAAAACGCTCGGGGAAATTGGACAAAATACTGCTAGCTTCACCAAAAATCAAGTCCTTGCGCGCAGACGGCGGAAAAGTGCTTACTTGCTAAAAACAAATGGAATTTCTACACTGTACCCCAGCATCTTAAAGTACAGAACTACTCTTTTTTTCTTTCTGCAGTAATTTTTATATAGTAGTCATGTATCCCAACTCAAAAGGAGCAAACTGAATTGTGCTTAAATGCCTTAAGAAACCCCGGCCTCACTAACGGATCTGTGTCCATTGCAGGCTTATGTGACTGGAGGAGGGAGACACAATGTTTCCAGATGAAGATATCCTTAAGGAACTGATGGAAAACAAAAGCACATTTTGTTTGAACCCCTAGCTACTTATGGTGTGGTCAGCCCACTAACAGCCTCACGCATTTCCCACATTCACCAGAGAGATGGGGTTGGGGATAGAGAAGGTGGTTCTCCCTAGCAAACCCTCTACCCATTTCTTATCCAGTGAAGAAAAGAATGACCCATGCAGCAAAGTGTCTGCAGAAACTTCAGGCCTGCGAAGAGAGCTTTTCAGAGACCCTGATGGAAGAATGGATGTATTCATGTAGTGAACGTTCAATACAGAATGCACTTACTGTGTGCTGAGTCCGATCGAGGAAGCTGTAGGTTCCAGTTGCATGAGTTCTTTGAGCAGTTTCCTAAGGAAAGAAAGAGGAGAAGATTTCAATATCAAGGATATGTTTATTGAGAGGTTTTGTTTTTTGTTTTGTTTGTTTGTTTGTTTGCTATAGGGTACATGTGTTTGCTGGGGAACAGAAAGCAAGAAATATCCCCAAGGGGGAATGGCCATGCCACAATCCCTTCTCCTCCATTACCCACCCTGGATTTTGGGCACACATACAAATGCACCTGGCATGAGTTTTAAGCCACCAGGTCCTGGACTCAAACCATGGTTGACCACATGGGAGTCCAGCAACATAACTATTACGCCAGCTGCTGGTCCCAATATCAAGGATCTTTTAAAGACAGAATCTCACTGTTTCATGATCCTGCCTCAGTTTCCCAGCCAGGATCACAATGCACCACCCAGTCCAGGCTTTAGGTTAGAACAGGAATCAGCCCAGGCTTCCCATGTGGCCCCATCCTACAGAGCATGGTATCTTTGAAGTGTGCCACTGTAGTGGGTCTCAGTAAGTGTATTCTTGAGCTGTGTCTGCACCTTCCTTGTCATGGTAGTACTGGTTAAGCTCTACAATACACTCTGACTATACTGTGAGCTTAATTGCAAGGATGGTGATGGCAATGATGAAAATGATTAAGTTGTTCAACATATTTTCATTAAAACTTTTCACACTCTATTAAGACAGTAATATTATTTTCTCTATTTCTGAGGAGGAAACTGAGGCTCCGATAGCTTGAAAAAGTTTCACTAAGCATGCACGTGTACATAGCACAGCCCAGATTTGAAGCTGGTTGATTGGGCGCTAAGTTTCAACATGCTCTACTGTACTCTCACACAGTGAGCTCCCTGTTACAGAATGTGTTCAAGGAAAGATTGGAGGTTGACATTTCAGAAATTTTCTTGTGGATTTCCTGCATGCAATTCAGTTGGATTAAATAAACTCTAAATTTCCTTTCAACTCTAGGACTGCAGGACTCTTATTATTATTATTTTTTAAGTTTTTGCTGTAGGCTATGTGGCTATGTGTGCTCATCAGAGACAGACAGAGAGGGGAGCTGGAGATGAGAAATCACCTCCAGGGAGGATGGTCATGCTGCAACCCTTCTCCTCTAGGGATTTTGGACATGCATGCACACATGCCCAGTGGGCCATGTAGGATCTAGCCACCTTAACCTCCACACCACCTGCTGAGCCAGAACGGCAAGTCTGTAAAACTCAGTCACGTGATAAAGTTCAAAGCTGGAACTACTTCGTTTTGAACAAGTACAATTGTGAGAGATGTCCCACCAGTAATACATTTCACAAACATTTCCTCTCCCAATCAAAAGCAGAGATTAATGTTCATGAATATTTGAATAAACCAAGTATCAGCTGAACTGAAAATGGCTGTTAAAGTTTCATATAATTCCATGAGTTGCAGGAGAGGTCATCTCCAACCAGAAAAATCAAGATTTACTAATAGACCTGAAGGAACTTCATGATTTCCTGTACCTATGAGGGTTGATTGCAGGGTTCTGGAATCTGGAGCCAGTGCTTCCTGAATTACTCTTATAAAGTAGCAATGCAATTTACACCCAAGCTCAAGGCAATTTGCAAATTTCAGAGCTTAATTTTAAACATCATTTGCAGATATGTTCGGAAACATGTCCCTTTTCTCAATGTAATAATGTAATAAACTACACACACTCATCACATCTTCACAGTCTGAGAGTCCACTGATGTTGATAAGTTAGAACATCTGGGAATATCAAGTGGTTTCAAAATATTGGAAGGGAGGTGTAAGAATATACCTCGCTATGAAGTGGTGGGGATGCTGGTAACAGTGTTCACCCCTCAATAACCTTTTGTTTTGTATTTTGATCTCTTTGACTTCTTTTTTAAAAAAGGAATTATTTTATTTACTTTGTTTATTATTATTATTATTAATTTACCAGAGAGAGACGAAGAGAGAGAGAAAGTGAGAAAGCAAGCCACCAGGTCCAGGTCTCAAACCACGGTCAGCCATGTGGGAGTCTAGCGCCCCCAACCACTATACCACCTGCCGGCTCCCATCTCTTCAACTTCTTTTAACGGCTAAAAACAATCAGTCTCATGAAATGATGCATTCATCCATCTCTCTGTCTCCCATCTATCCATCCATCTTTCCAGTCATCCTTGGTTCCACAGACTGTGACCAAGTCACTTCGCCACTCTTTGTCTCAATTTCCTCATCTCTAAAATGGAAATAAGCCCAGTGCCTGTGCCTGAATGAGCAAAGGTGTGTATTGAAAGTTCATATCAGTAATGGAAATGATGTTATGTCTGACACAAAGTGAATGCTGTTTAAAAGCTTGTTATTACTGAAACCATCTCGTCTTTCTCTTGTTCTTATTTTAATGCCAGGCACTGTCCTCTGGGTGCCTGCAGTCCAGTGGGGAAGACAGACCTTGGTCAGGGAGGTTGGGAGAGTGCTACCCAGGAAGTGGCTATGGCGCTGAGATTTTTTTTCTTTCCCTCAGAGGCTATGTTCATTTGTCAGAGAGAGAGAGGGAGAGAGAGAGAGAGAGAGAGAAGAGGAAGAAAGCACCCCTGAGTGGGGTGTTGTCGTGCCTTAATTCTTTCTCCTCCAATTCTCCATCCTGTCTGAATTTTGGGCCCACACGTGCACCTGGAGTGTTTTTTCAAGCTACTGGGGCTGGGATTTGAATCGCATGGTCAGTCATGTGGGATCCAGCTCTCTTAACTTCTTGATCACAGTACTAGCTTGGAGCTGATTTAAAAATAAAAAGTAGAACTTGATCTGGAAAGAAGAGTTATAACAGCTATGAATAGTCAAACTTGATGGTTCTCTTCTGTAAACTCATAGTGTGCCTCACCTGGATGACTATCTGAATTATAATAATAATAGTAGTAAGTTTTATTGCACCCTTAGCATATTCCAGGCTCTGTATCAAAAGTCAAATGTTTGAAACAAACAAACAAAAATTTGCTAGTGTGTGCGCTTGTCAGAGAGACAGAAAAAGAGAGGGGGAAAGTGAGAAAGCACCCCCTACAGGGAATGGCCACACCACAATCTCTTCTCCTCCATTCTCCTTTCAGAATTCTGGGCACACACACACAGTATTTGAAAAATGCACACAGCACATTTTTCAAACAGCTAGGTATAGGATTCAAACTGTTCAGTGGGCCATGCGGGATCCAGTCACCCTAACTGCCATGCCACTGGCTGGCCCTACTCTTATCAAAAATAAAGACAGGAACTGTCGCCAGGTTTGTCCTTCTCAACCTCAGCCCTTCCTTTGGCCACTCCTCCACCCTCTGACACACTCATACACTCTACGGTCTACTTTCAGTGAACTGCTTAGAGAGACAAGGCACGGTCACCCCTCGAGCCCTCAGATGGCATCCCTCTCTCCTCCTGAACTGCCTTTCATCTGCCTTTCAATGTGCCCAGTTTGGAGCTTTCTTCAAGGTCAACCAAGGGTGCCCTCTGCAGCTTTCGCTACCCTTCCAACTGGACTAATCGTGTGCGTGAGTTGGGGTGGAGGCCTGGGGTAGTGGGACCCGTGGCTGTTCATACTCTTCTGTCATGACCAGGCTCTCCCATGCTTTCAGACCCATTGTGATCATCACCTTCCCCGCTGCGCATCCCTGGCCGGCGGGGGTAATGTTCCCTCAGCTCTGTAGCCGTATCATCTGTCTCAGTGCCCGCCACTCGGCAGCTGCTCACGACAGTGGGTAACCTAACAAGTGATTCCTCATTCCCCGAAGAGTTACTGCACAAAAAAAGGACATCGCCCTTCATTCCAGAAGGAGGTTTTCGCTGTGCAAGAGGCCCTCTGTGGCGCTCCTACACCTGGTGCCCAGGGTATACCATTTACTTCATCTCCACGTCAGCCCTATGCCTACACTTTCATGTCCATATTTAATCCAACCTGCAGTTGAAATCAATTTTTAACCCCTCCCTTTTCCCTTCTTTCCAGTAATAAGAGTCTGTCAACCCGTTGCATGGATGGTGTTATGAAAACAAACACAGGCTGAGAACTATTGTGACCGGGTGAGAATGGATGTGGTCAATTAGAAGGCTACCAGACAGCAAGAGAGACCCAGGTACTCACTAGGGTTCCAGAGAACTGATGGAGGGGTTTGTGCTTTTGTGAGTTTGTGTTTGTTTGTTTGTTTGTTTGTTTTTAAGACTAAGATTGTCCTCAGTTTGCAATTAGGCTTGCAAGCAACCTGAAGAGCAATTTGTGGCCAGGGAGAATCTTGGGCCCCAGTGGAACTGAGTGGAATTTTCTTCTTACTGAGACTACGCTGGTGCTCCAGAGCTCCAAGTGAAGGAAACGCGAAAGGACGTCGGAGCAAAGTCAGGCAGGACGTGGGCGAGTGCTCGCTTCATGCATTAGCTACCTTCACCTCTGCACTCTGTCCCCACGGATGCACGAAATAGCAAACCGATTACTTCCAAAACACTAGTGTCAGTGACCCCAGGCAGCTGTATGGAGTTTTAGTCTCTGAGTCTGACTTTCTAAATAGGGCTGGCCACTGCAGCGTTTCTGCCTCCTGGGGCTCTGCAGGCTGCCCCATGGATCTCCCCGGGCGGGTCAGTGCATCTCCTTCTGTCTCTAGGCTTGCATCCACTGTCCTCTCCAGAGAAGGCAGAGCAAGCTCCTACAATGAATGCAACCACGTTACTTGATTGTTTGCACCCTGTATTAACAGCTTTGCATTTTATTCAGGGCCTGCCCTGTGACATGATTTGACATTCCACATGACGTACGCCTGGGCCCAGTTCTAGAAGGGAAAAGGGAGGGGTTAAAAGTCTAGTATTTATTAGTGAAGGGTCACATCTCCCTGCCCCGATTCCTTGTGGTCCAGCTCCCTGGACCTTCCAGTTCTGGGCCTCACTTTACTCCCGCCTGCCACGGGGATGTTCTGCAGGCTGGGCTCTGGACTGGGGCTGATCTAACACCTCGTTACCTGCCATGCACTGGCACTTCCTAAGGAAACACTCTACCATGTGGTCTCAAGAGCCTA